GGTGACGCGGCGGCCCGAGCCGCGTGTTTGATTGACGCGCACACGTGTGTTGCCGCGTGTATCGCAACTCGCGTCGCCGCCCCCCTCGTCCTCCTCGTACGCTCCAGCCTTACATCCCTCATAGAGTCTTGTGAGTGCACCAGAGCACCTTTTGTCAAGTAGATGATATTTCTTCGAAATCCGAAGGGCACAGTGTATTTTATTTTATTTTCTACTACAAGACAAGGTGCAATGCAGGGGAGGCAAGATGCTGGCCTCTACGCCAGCATAGAAGCAGTAGGTATATGAGCTACGATAGCGGAAGATGGCATACGAGGCTGTACGAGGAGGACGAGGGGGGCGGCGACGCGAGTTGCAATACACGCGGCAACACACGTGTGCGCGTCAATCAAACACGCGGCTCGGGCCGCCGCGTCACCACGCTTTCGCATCCTCCGCCCCTCCCTCGTCCTCGCTCGGTCTGCCACATAATGGGTACCGTTGGATAGCTCTGCTTAGTGGCCACGCATACGCGTTGACGGGACGGCCAACGGAACGGGAGGGCGGGGGACGCAGGCTCAGGACTCCGGCGCGACAGAGAAGAGATGGGAATGAAGTCGCGGAAACTTGGTAATTAAGTCGCGCGAATGTTGTAGGAAAATGCAAAGAAGGGTGATACAAATGGTCGAATTTCCGAACGTTCTGACCGCCATATCGCCAGGCAGCAGAGGACGGCTCGCGTCCGAGAAAGGCTTTTGGAACTGGTGACAGCCGGCGTGAGAGTAAAATAAGCGCGCTCCCCCTGTTCGTTTATCATCTTGACGCGCGTATTTCAATGACCTCCATCAACCGCGACCTTTTGGCCATATACTCAACATACTTCTTCGCAAATGACTGAGTGATGTACTCGTGTGCGGTGCTATAAGCGTAGCCTAGCTGACTTGACCTATCTCATCACGACCTATGCGACGAGCAGTGCCTGAGATCTTGACTGCCAGAACTGGCATTGACATGGTAGTCCTGTCGTAGGGCGGCGAGTCTATGACTGGAGCAAGCCACTGCATCTGCGCCCACCCTTCGCCGCTGACCACACGAAAGGCTCGGTCCGGTGCACCTCCCATTCCACCGACTTTCACTCTGGTTCCACTTGCTCGTCCGGCAGCCGCCCTCCCGAATCGCATTGCTAGTCACGGTGCGCTATAGGCTCTGCGCGTCGGGTTTCCAGCTTCGCGACCGATGACGACTGTGTCATAAGGCGCTCTGGCGGCCATCTTTTGCACTGCAGGGGCCCTAGCCGGCTTCGCCCTCATAGTGCTCTCCCCCTGACACTAGTACGCCCACTGTAACAAGTAGGTTTATGCTTGCTCAGGCTCGCATTCTATGCTAACCATTCTGTTCAGTTCAGCCCGACGAGTCTGGATTTGGTCGCTGACACTGGTGTCGCTGATGGCTGGTGAGGTTTTACTGAATGTTATCCTGATCGCTGGTGCTTATTGCGTCTAGTAGTATGCAGGACATTCAACTCTGCTCGAGAAAGATCAACGGGTACGTGCTCACTTGTATACTTTGTTGTACATATATAGACATCATCAACAGGACACTTAACGTCCACTCTCGCCCGTCCCGCCCGCCTTTATCACTCCTTGAGCTTGATTCCACGACCGGTCTCCGTTGCACCCAGCGGAGATGTCAGGACTGTGCTGCTCGTCACGCAGGCCTTCTACGGAGTCCGGCCGTATGTCGACCTACTGCAGAGAGGCCGCGTATGCATCAGCAAACACGGCTTCCTGCTCGTCACTGTCTGCCGCTTCATCGTTGACAGAGGCTCCTGCACTCGTACTTGCATTCCCTTCAGCGCCCGCACTACTAGACTCCGACCGATCGACTCCATTCACGGAGTCGTCCTCCCTCTGCACTCTTGTCCTCGATGCCCTACCACCAAGCTATCAGCTTGATGCGCATCGCGTGCGCTTCACGCCTTCCGCGCTGCCGTCGGCTCAACATCGGCTTGCCAGACAATTTGTGGACCAGATCCGAGTGGGATTACGCGTAGCCCTTGTACTACCCGCTCGACCATCTACAAGCTGGCGCTATCAAGGGCATGCTTGAGATACTTGCCGAACGGCCCATGGGCTATATGTGTCATGTGCCATGCCCTTCGAGCGGAGTGTATCGACTTCCAGTGCGTACCGAAGTTCGACCGCGCCGACCTGTGCCGCCGCCTCTGGTCGGACTACTCAGTGTCTACCACGGGGATCGTTCGGGGGCTTCCAAGGGACGGGATTACTTGCCCACGGGGAGGGGGACGGGTTCAACGGGTATGACCCTAGCGATCCTGCCCACTAGGTACGAGTACCACTTGCTGCACCTAGTAGGAGCACTTACGAGCCTACAGTCTTTGAGACATTCTCGGTCTTCTTGACCCGTAGAATGCCATTATCAGCCATTCTCGGCTCATTGAGCACAACCTGCCGGTTTGGGCGCGGGTCGGCCTTGCCGTTCCCTCTGCCGTTCCCGCATCCCGCTGTTTGCTGATACATACTTCCGCGGTCAGGGCGGCGCGTCGTTACCACAGTCATTGTGTCTCTCGCGACTATCAATCTCGACGAGCTGCAACAGGCCGGGAGCGCCCTGGCTCACGAGTAGTTGTTGAATTTGCCTATTCGCTAGTTTACGCGAGGAGATGCTTGTTGAGGTATTCTATGAGAGCTGTAGCGTACCGATACCCGTGTCATTATGTTGCAAGTAACTGAAGACGATGATTCACATGACGCACCATCCAAGAATTCTATAGTAACGTACTAAAGCAGTGTTAGACGCATGCGTTGACACACCCTCGGCGCTGGAAGTCGGACCTCTAAGCCCCGAGCTTGACAGGAAGCTAGAGCCCTGCGAAGACATAAGACGAAGCTTTTATAGAGCAGTATACCCAACCCGTCTAATTCTCGACTGGCATATCTTGGTCATTCTCTCCACCAGAAGAGATCGAGACTCCGAATACGGCAGCGCTGGGGTGGAAACTGAACTCTGGCATCTCTTCCGGTCGTTGTCTATAATCCGGATGAATTCTTATGCATGATATGTGACACGAATGCATAGTGTGCGACACCGTATTCGTGAAAAGTACACAATGCAGGTAACTCAACGAAAATACGAGCTGGCATGTCAGAAAGCGTGACAGCGACGGTCAAGGTCCGCCGTGTGCGCGCGCCGATTGTGAGAATGCGAACTGTGCTCGTTTCACTCCCTACTACCACTTCCAGCGTCAGCTCGTGCCACCGTCAGGCTCGTCACCAGTCAGAAGGTCATCTTCATGCAGCACCCTCTGACTCTAGAAGCTTAGCGCTCTTCTTTCTGGGAAGATCTTCAGCGCCGCTAAACCAACGGCCCGAATAATTGGACGTACCCTTTGCGCGCCGATTTCTTACGCCCCTCATCTCTGCCATGCAACGCCCTCATCGGCTCTGCAGCCTGTCGAAGCGCCGCCTGCTTAGTCAACACATGAAGGACCTGTAGGATGTCGATTGCCAGATTTGACCACTCTGTGCGTTCTTCGTCTCCCCTGATATTCCATGCCCAAACTAACGTCGTTATGACAAGCAAGCGGACACCGTCTAAGCCTGGCGCCAGGGTGCCTCTCCAGTCCATCTTCGCGTCAGCTGCAATGGATACCCGCCCTTGCGCATCCTGACGCTCGGCCGGTTGCAAGAGTCCCCATTGTTGCGGGAGACTGATATTGGCGTCTGCATCCAGCTTCGCCGGCGTCCTATTCTCTCCATTCGCGGCCCGAGCATTCCATCTGGACGTAAAGTCTCGTTCCCGAAGTCCCGCCATGTATTTCGGTCGTTCGGAAATCTCGGACCCATCCGACGTCGCCATCGCCCGCATGGTTAAAGGCATCTCGTCCTTTTAATACGTAAGCATTCGCTTACAGGGCGTTGCAATACACTCACCAGCTTGCAAGCCTCGAAGTTCAAATATCCTAGGCTCAATTCACATGCTAGGCTCACATCCACGCGGCCCACCATTTTTGCCGGTACAGCTCGGAGGAAGTTTACCGTGTTCGAATCCTCCAACCATTCACACAATCAAGCACCCTAGGTCCGACAATGTTGGCCACCAAGGGCTCATTTAGTGCCGACAACTCGGTCACCAAACATCACTTGGTGGTCGGAAGTAAGCTGTAGCTGCGGCAGGGGCGGGTGTGGTCAGGTAAGGGGTAGACAGTCCCGCCTGAGGCCAGGGGTACAGGGTTCCGCCAGCCATCTGTGGCTAGGGATGTTCCGCAGACCATATGTGCAGGTACTAGCTCCCGCTGGGCTGTACATAGTACCGCGGGACTACCAGTGGCGGTACGAGGTCCCGAGAGGTAGGGGTTGGATGTATGGGGTACCGACAGCCTGTCAAGGGCGGTATGTGGTGCCGCGAGTCAGGCATAATGAGTACCGGGTACCGCAGGTGGGCAGTTCCGCCAGCTAGGTATGGAGTACAGCGTCCCGCCAGATGGGAGGTCGAGGTATATGGTACCGCTGGTCAGCTATGAATGTTAGGTGGTCCCGCGAGTCATCTAGTCAGGGTATAGGGTCACGCCAGACACCTGGGGTTGATACAGAGTACCGCCAGGTGGCTAGCGTCGGGCCTGTGTACCGCCAGATAGCTGGGGTCGGTACGTTGTACCGCCAGATAGCCAGCGTCGGTTTTCAGTACCGCCAGATGGCCAGTGTCGGTACTATGTGCCGCCAGATAGCCAGTGTCGGTACTGCGTCCCGCCAGATGGCCAGTGTCGGTACTGCGTCCCGCCAGATGGCCAGTGTCGGTACTCAGTACCGCCAGATGGCCAGTGTCGGTACTCAGTCCCGCCAGATGGCCAGTGTCGGTACTCAGTACCGCCAGATGGCCAGTGTCGGTACTGCGTACCGCCAGATGGCCAGTGTCGGTACTCAGTCCCGCCAGATGGCTGGCGTCGGTACTGAGTACCGCCAGATGCCCATCGTCGGTACTGCGTCCCGCCAAATGGCCAGTGTCGGTACTCAGTACCGCCGCATGGCTGGCGTCGGTACTGGGTACCGCCAGATAGCCGGCGTCGGTACTCAGTCCCGCCAGATGGCCAGTGTCGGTACGCAGTACCGCCAGATGGCTGGCGTCGTTACGTTGTACCGCCAGATGGCCAGGGTTGATATGGGTGGCCCGTCTGTCAGCTTTGCATGGTATGGTTGCAGTAAGATGTTCGGGACGACTGTGTAGAAAGTCAGGGTGACTTCTTCCATACATAGGGTGGGCATGGTGGGCTGTTTTACATAGTGATGCTGTATGCAAGGAGTCCTATATCACAGGTTGTGTATATACTATTAATATTATTATTGAATGCTTCATCATATCAACAGTGCGAGCTGCATATTGGTTCTTGATACGAGATCTTATTATAAGTTCACATTAGCGTACTCGCATCTGAAGCTCATCCAAAATACACACCTGTGGACTGACAGCTGCGTTGCTAAGGACAATGGTGCACTGGTATATCTCAGCCTCTATCACATTTGTACCGCAGCTAGTACCGCCAGGTACCGCCGCTAGTACCGCCAGGTACCGCAGCTGTACCGCCAAGCAGTACCGCCAGGTACCGCCATTGTACCGCCATCAGTACCGCCACTGTACCGCAGCTAGTACCGCAGGATGTCCCGCGCAGGGTATGCTTGATGATGTCACATCGATGAAATCGCCATTTTTGATGACACTCCTCTGGGGAAGTGTTGCCTTTTAACATGATGAACACCGACTACCCGCAGTTTCTTGATGCAGTTGTCTCTTATGCCTTAAAAGCGGCACAAGGGCCTACCTCTGTCCCTTCAAACATCCATCCCCAGTTCGCTGAAGAGGTCGACCATCTGATCCACATTGTCAAACTAGCACAGAAGAACAGATGTACAGTTATCAGTTACATGTGTTTAAACTGTCGCTCACAATGGGCTGTAGACGTTGTACCCTGGGACATGCGCACCTACTATGCAGCGGTACAAGGGCAAAACGGTACAAACGCAGTGCGAGAGGCCATACTTCGGCGACAGTTCATTCCCATCCACGAGAGCCTAAGCAACCCATCTGTGATAGAGGATACCACTGGCTCAATAGTAGGCTACTATCTTCCTGATGCCATTTTGGAAGTTCGTCAGGTAGCCTTCTTGATATTCTGCTCTCGATCTGAGAACTCACCATACTCAATAGGGAGCAATCAAGCAGAGCATGCCCATCTTAGGTCCGACCTTCCGTGAGAATTGGGGCGGTACTTCACGCGGTACTGGCGGTACTGGCGGTACTGGCGGTACTGGCGGGTCCTGGCGGGATGCCGCACGTCTGTTTCTACCAGCAGACCAGAGCAAGGCGTTTGGACGAGGCAATGTATCTGCATCACCTGCCTGGCAGATGCAAGGCCATTCAGTACGTCAAGTTCTTCACCAATGTTTGTATCTTACAAACATTCTCAGGGCTTTGAAGATTCCATTCACGTAGCAGCCAACTACGGCCCAGGTCCAGGTCTCAAGGCCAATCGTCCAACCAGCGGTCAGCTCGCATTTCAGCAGTTTATGCGGAACCAGCTAGAGACAGGCTGTCTCATGAGCGTCGCACTCGCACTCACACATCCTGAGCAATATGCGCTGACACGTGCTGGGCTTGAGAAGCTCTATGAGTTTGAGCACATATGTGATCGGGTCAGCGAGTGGGCCTTCGCATTCAATGTGCTTACCATTGTTGCCAATCGGGAGTCGACGTGGCATCGCGATAGGCTCAGTGGGGGCCTGGAGTGGTTTGATGCTCTCTTGAGCATTGGTGGTGATGACAACACAGTTCTGGAGCTCCCTGGCGTTGGTATCCGGATGCAGTACACGTCAGGAACCATGGCATTGTACTCTGGCCATACCCATGTTCATGGCGTTAGCAGGTGCATTTCTGAACGTGTATGCTTTGCGGCTTATGCTCGTCCGTCTGTTTTGCGTCAGTTTCACATTCACACTCCCAGGTTTGCCACACATGTGACGTCATGCATGTATAGCTACTGGGATATGTATATAAAGGCCATACTGGAGTGGGCGCGTTCATCTGGGGGCATAGTATCGTAAACAGTATGTAATGCACATCTCAACACACTTTGTACGCCCAGGCGAGTATGAAGCATCTACATCCAGACAATCATGAGACATGATAACAATAGACTTCATTGTACATAATACAGCTTGAGAAATTACCAAAAACGTCATGTTCATATCCCACAGCACTGGAGGGGAAGAACTAATCCAGTCTGGACCTCTTTCGAAGTCGTGCATGGGCTTCTGGTGACTGCGGGACAATAACCTCAGTGGAAGTATTGTGCTGTACGCTGCCCTGCGCGGCGGCAGCAGCTCGAGCTGCTCGGGACCCCGGGCGAAGAACAGCGCGTGGTTTGGGCTTCGGGTGTCCAACTACGTAAGACTTTGGTTTGGCGGGCATTAAGACCTCAACACGCTTTCGTTTAGAGAGTGGACGATGCGCTGATGGTGAAGATTGTGAATCTGCAGGTGCGTTTTCCTGACTTGCCTCCTGATCGCGTTGAGTGACGGTGTCTTGCCGCCGACGCTTTCGACGTCGAGCAGAAGGTGATGTAGCAGCTTGATGAGCAAGATGACTGATTGTTGGCGGTAATTCAACATCGTCTACTGCATCAGAGAGGTCGGCGTTGCCCTCGGGTTGTGAGCGATGAGTAGGGGACGCAGTCTCGGCATCAGACAGTGTTGGCGTACTGTCATCCTCCAGATCCGAATCGGGCTCCTCGGCACGCTTACGTGTTGAGGGAAGTGGGCGCTTATTGGGTGGCAAACGCTTCGCTCGAGCTGACCCTACAGCAGCAGCCTTCTGGCGCTTGACAGCAGCCTGTGAAGGCTTCACTTTGCGCTTTGGAAGCGGACGGGTGACAGTAACCTTGGCCAGTGCCTGTACCTCAACAGGCTTCGGGCGACGCTTGCGGGGAGGAGGTGGAGAAGGAGGCAATGTTTGCTCCGGATTACCAGATGGAGAATGCGAGGGCAAAGCAGGAGTGGGAAGACGAGGCAATTCGGACATAGTAGGGCGTGGCTCAGGTGCAGCACGAGTAGTCGATCGAGAGCGTTCAGCATCAAGCCGCTTGTTATCGGATCGTATTTGAGTATTTCGCTGCACCTGGTCGTCGCGTCTGTTGTATGCCTCTATCGCGACCTTCCGCCTTATGTCGCGCTCTGTCACCGGGGGTTGGGTACTCTCGTGTATCATGGCCTGCATTTGAGAGCGATCACGAGGGATGGCACGTGCAGCTTCAAGATACTGAGGGTCGGGTGTCACGGGACGACGCAGTACTCCTGTGCCCGGATCTGTCGTGGACAGATGGTTGTCGTGTCCAATTGGGTCCGCCGGTACCGCTCGCGCTGCGGTACTGGCGGTACCTGCGGTACTGGCTGGGTGTGCGGGACTGGCGGGACCGGCGGGACTAGGGCTACGTGCGGGACCGGACAACTCGATATCGAGGTTTGAGGGCGGAAGTGTTGGATCGCCCATATCCCTATCAGGAATAGGTCCGACAGCTTGTTCGAGCATCAGTACGCGAGCCTCGGCCCACTCCAGAAGCAAAGACGTGAAGTCAAGGCCCGCAGAGCGTAAGCACGAGTTTGCGAGTTGGCCCTTAGCATCCCAATCCTCGAAGAGTATACTCTGAACATCGGAGTATAGACAGACCGCCTTGAGCATATCCAGAAGAACCTGCTCTCTTCCAGAGATGAGTGTGCCGACCTCATTTAGGAAGGACGGAGGAGCCACAAGCCACGCATGAAGGGCATCAACGGTATGCACATCTGCATGCATGGATGGTGGAAGCCCACACCGAGGAGACTGCCATGAAGGGAAGTCTTTGCCCGAGAGAAGAGTAGTTGGCGACGGTGAGCCCGTGTCCGGCTGTAGATTGGGTGTGAGCATTTCATAATACCGCAATGCAACCCCTCTGACTAACCAGATGTTCAATGAGCTGCAAAAGCCGAACGAAAGGCTCCTCCGCTGAGATCACTGTGAACAGATACGCCTCACGACTGGGAGCAACTCCGTATTTTGCAGAAGGGCCAAAGCGAGGGTATGTGAACTCCTGAGACAGACGCTGAATGTACTCCTTGAATGTGTTGACCAAACGTCCTAGATCGAGGTGACCAAGTAGAAGCTCTGGTGATGTGGTCGAGTACGCGTCGAAGTACATCATGAATCCGAGAACGATGAGCCATGCCATTTCCATGCCAGAAAATGACACCTCGTCTTGTAATGTGTACTGCCAGGGTGTCGATCGGAGGAATGTAGACATAGCATTGACCGTCTCGACGGTAGTTAGAGTGCGCAGGTCCTGAACTGTCCAAGTAAGAACTGGAGGAAGCCTGACAGGCATCTTGCGCTTTCGAAAGTTCTTTGCTGCGTAGAAGTGGTTCCGCACGAGCTGATGAGACTTAAGTACAAGACGGACTGATATCCCTTGATGAACTCACGGGAAGCTCGCTTAAATACGCTATTGAAAACCTTAGCGGACTTGTGGGAAGACCTGCAGCCCAGCTCCTACTGGTCAGCTGCCGAGTTGCCCACTGGCCCATGGCTTCAGGATTTGACGGGACAGAGCATGGCGCATCGTGATCATGAAGGATAGCAGTTGGTGGTAGCGCATCGTCTGGATCGGGCGAGGGGTGCACAATAGGCATGTTGTCCAGGGAGCCTTCAGAAGCGAGCGAGCTGTGATGGAATTTGACTGCCCTTGCACTCCCGTATGGACTTACAGCCGCTTGCTGGGCTCGCTTGCCCTTGTCTAACCATTTATCAGCATCTGAATGGCGCAAGATATTAGGAAGACATGCCAGGCTGTTGTACTGAGTTAGAAGATAGCTGATGCGACATAGAGAGCTCGGCAGAACCGGGCTGGGGTCCAGAGTCGGCGGAACCTTCGCGGGACAGGCCCGACTGGGCGAGGCTTGCGGTACCTTGGTCCAGATTGTTCAAAGGGGGTGGAGGGACGGTGTCGTTGCCGAAGTAGGTTGGTCTGGCTGCTAATGCTTTCGCCTTCGCGGCCTCGAACTCGTCAAAACCGGCCTGACCAGGCTGCACGGCCCACCACCGTCGGTCAAATGGAACAGGAGGCTGAGGATCACTGTTCCGGATCTTGTACTCATGAAACTCGAGATAGCCGATCTTAAGAAGATGATAGAAGAGCTCCATACGCTGAGCCTCCCGTGCCATGGTGACATCGCCGGGTTTGAAGCCTGGCGGGAAGAACCTTGCATCGACACAACGACCCTCGGATATCGCCTTCCAAGGAGGTTCAATGTCTCCAGGCCTACGCGGAGAGATGTTGGCTAATGGAGGTTAGTGCAATTTAATGGTGGTCTACAAGGCGAACGTACCATGAGCATAACGAAATATTGAGTACAGGACGTTGCGTGAGTCCTTTGCCACATTTGCCATGTCGAAGTATTTCTCCTCTATGGCCAGACTGTTGCGGTTGCGAAACTGCTCGGAGCTCGGGTTGTATGCAGTAGGTTTCGAAAGCTTCGACTCCTTTTGTTTCTTGCCCTCGGTCCGAACCTCACCTGCGCCTACAAACTATCTTAGTCGATGTGTTAGATCTGTTAACTACTTTTTGCCAGTCACCTGCATGGGTATGAACAAAGCTCTGCAAGCGGGCTAGCGTGCTTTGAATGACTGTTGTGTCTTCAAATAACTGATCTCCAAGGCCAAGATCAGTGCTGAAGTCGATACTTTGTGCTCCCGATGAGATCATGCTCCATACAATAAGCGAGCTATCTTACATATCCGTCTGCACATCCACACCAGGCTCTGCAACCACCAGAAAGTATACATAAACACCGTAGCGCTTGAGGCATGCCATGGCAACGTCACGAAGAAGACGTCGACAGTTGCGGTCATATTGCCTACGCATTTGAATGAGCTCGCGAATAGCCAGAGTATCTGATGACGTACTTCTTCTTGATTGACAAAGGAATGCCCGTGCGGTTCCACTGCTTACAGAGAACTTGAACCTCAGTGCGCTCTTCCTCAGTGAGGCTGTAGTACACGGCAGCACGAGCTCGCTTGTACTCCGTAAGCCACCCTTTCTTAGCCCCAGGCTTAAGACCTGACACCTCCTCCACGAGATCGGATATCACGCCCTTGTAGACTTCGCCACATACGCCGAGCACTGTCCAGTCGAGGCGACTTCTCCCTTTGCCAGGCAGCCTCACGATGACATCGCGCACCCTCCCACGCTCTTTGAAGAAGTTACGAATCGCCTGCAAGGATAATCAGCCTGATATTGAAGACTTTGACATTTCACGAAGCGAAGGCCATAGCGGCAGGAACACATTCACGTGTCTGGTACCGCGCGGTACCGCCATCAGTACCGCCATCAGTACCGCCATAGGTACCGCCATCGGTACCGCCATAGGTACCGCCATTGGTACCGCCAGCGAAGTACCGCCATCAGTACCGCCATCGCAGTACCGCCATCCGTACCGCCGGCGGTACCGCTATATCATGGCCCCGGTGCCAGCCCTCATGATGGAGTAGGACCAATGAAAGCCTGAAGGGGAGACGCACCATGGCCATGATCTCAAACCAGTCAAAAAGTAGCTCACACACCATTTTGAGGTAAGTAAAACGTGGATTGGCTGCTCTGCTCGGCCACGTTGTAGGTTTGGTCCAATCAATTGCGTCTCCATCCCAGACTGTTTCGAATGCCTGCAAAATAGATAGTATCATGTGTGGATCAACGGAGTGTCTAATGGACGTACCTTCTGTACGTATGCAGTCCTTTCTTTACCCTTTAGCCCAATATACCCATCTACCAATGGCTGGAGTGCTCGAACTTGCTCGGCAGTCAATTGGCGTGAGGTCAGATGCTGGTCGATCTTGTCACCATAGGCAGTCTCGAGTACATTGCCTTCATCACTCCATTCATCTTCGTCGCCAGAGAACTCCTGAGATGAGGCCATGGTAGCGATACAGACGGAGATGGTGAAGTTGGTGAGAGACAAACACCTCGTCTGCTCCCATCTAGCATCCATCTGTGCGATAAGGGATTTCACACTCCACTCCACACGGGGCTCCGGCGGTACATGCCTGAGGGCGGAACACACGACCTGCGGAATCTACCACTGCGGAACAGATCACGAGTCGAGGTAGGCGCGTGTGTCCAGCGTGATGAGTGCTTGCTTCAGATCTATCAGCATCCTCTCAGAATGTCCGGTTCCGAGCATCCTAACTACACGCACTCAGTTACAAACAATACTCGTGCAGCACTAAAGGCAGCAGAAGCTGCTACAAAGCGTCGAAGTACCAACAAGCGAGCGGGCCTACCACCAGTTGATGAAAAGCCACCTGAGAAGAAGAAACGCGCCCGAAAGACCTTTGATGGGCATCTTTCGACAAACGACCCTCTGTTTGGGAAGGATAAAGCTACATCGACAAGTACCTCAGCCACTAGTACACGTGCATCGTCTCGCAATGTGTCGCAGCAACCCGATATACAGCCCGCTGCAGCTGGGACTGGAGCCGGTACGCGGGTTACAGGGCGCACTGGCCACGGACGTCCTCTCGGCCCAGTAGAAGGCCCTTTCCAAGGTCCTATTGGCGCAGACACCGACCTCTCAGCACACGTAGCGCCCAACCAGCCTGTCAATAACTATGGTATGCCAGTGGACTTCGCTCAAGGGCCACAGCCGGGCGCGGAGATTGATGGCGGGCCGACTCGAAATGTGAGTACATGAAGCTGCTAGATTCTCAAAATGTCTGACTGAATGAAATGATACAGACCAATGTTGAGCGCCTTGCTGATTTTGCGTCCGGACTGGCTCCCATCACATACGCGAACTGCATCATTCGGCGCAAAGGGCCTCCTCGAGACCTGACCTGCAGCAACTGTGGGGTAGCAGGACAGGCCAAGTGGCGATGCGACAGCTGTCAGTGCAAACGGGATCTTTGTACTGCATGTGTCCGCATGCGCCACATGGATAACCCGTACCATCGCGTGCGCTATCTTACCGGAGCCCAGTACCGCGAGGCATGGCTCAGAGATGCTGGTGTCTTCATTCAGCTTTGTCCCGTTGCACGCGGAACGGAGGCTTGCCCGGGATATGAAGAGGACACGTACGTGCTACCGATGTCGGTGAATACCGACCCTCCGCCACACTACGGTGGCGCACGAGAAGGCTCGACTGCAACAGGTGCAGGCCCAGGTCGTAGTCGAGACACAGAAGGTCCCGCCAGTACCGCCGGGACTGCTAGTACCGCCGGTACCGCGGGCACTGGCGGTACATCAAGTCTGTCAGATGATGCCCCAGACATACGTGCCACAAGGCCACAAGCTCGCACTGGCTTCACAGACCTGTACGACGACATGTTCTCTGGCAGTAGTCAGGAACCTACAATGGATGAGGGAGATGCGGAGGCACGCCTTCACGACGAGGGTGACAGCGATGGTGAGGAGGAGGATGGGAGTAGCGGGGGTGCGGATGAGGGCCGCGCGAGAGCGAGAGGGCGAAAGGCGAGGGTTCAGAAGGACCATTGGGGGTACAATGTGATGGTCATTGTTCACGATACAGATATCCACCAACTGGGTGTTGCGTACTGCTGCTGTCAGGCTAGTCGTGGACTTGCAGTTGACGAACAGCTCATCGAGTTTGGGGGGCTTTTTCCAGCCACTCCAACAAACCCTCGAACGTGTTTCACAACTGCCGGTCTGGAGTACCATCAACTCGATCGACTAGAGTGTAAAGTTGCACCTCAAGCCATTATGCGCAAGCTACGTAGGCATACATCGCCATTGCATGCTGGAACAGTACCAGTACGTTGTAGTGTGGCTTACAACATCTGTGCATTGCTCACGCGTCAAAGAACCGCTATCCAGAGATGCTGCGTATCATGCGCGAGTATTCCGTTGTCGACAATCTCATCGTTCATGGTTATGCACATCGCGATGTCTCGCTTTGGCAGCCTCCGCCGCCTGGCGGTCTCTTTCATTCCTGCATAGTCTGCCCGTGCCGAGAAAACCTCCCAAAGGGTTACCGGTATAGCATCTACGCCTGGGCGTTTCATTATGCATTTGCTCACGACGGGAACTTCAATGGCCAACATACTGTATCAAAGCAGCCAGGCAACAACGTCCCTATCTTTCCCGGTACTGGTGCCTTCCAACATCCTACAGAGGCCAAAGCCGACTTGGCAACCATGAAAACGGACAGGCAGCTCAAGAAGGAGAATGAGCGACTGGTATGTCCGGTTTATACACCAAATTGATCTCGCATTGACGCAGCGCAAGTTTGCAAAGGACAAGCCGTGTCATAAACATCTTGCAGCACAGCTTAGCGGCAAAACACGCGACAAGGTCACGGACATCAAGGGGATAGGCGCTTGGGCGTGTGCTCGACATGGTTGCTTCGCCAGTGGAGGCACATGCAACTATGAGCTGGGCGAAGCGTATGTTCTTTGCTCGATGATGCTACTTTCGAACGTGCTGGCTAATCCAGTTCCGCCAGATCTGGTCCCGCCGACGTTGCCTTGAACAATATGTTCAAGCAGAACACCGATGTCAATCTGATCGAACGACTTCTTCTATTCTACGACATCTGGTGCAGATATGGAGTTCATCTGCAGGAGCGGTTCAAGGGAAGTGCAAACATTGAGTGGCCAGAGTTTGCTGAGGTGCTGGGTAGTGTTGGAGTGTGGCACATCTACGGGCACATCTTTGAGTGTTATGGGCGCTGGTCTAGTCTGTACTCCCACCATGCTGGCATAGTCGACGGTGAGATCCTTGAGACGCTGTGGTCTGTTCTGAACCAGATTCTCGAGTCTTGCCGTGGAATGTCGTTGGCAAACCGGGAGGAAGTCATCAGTATGTTCGAGTCTGACAGTAATCATCGGAAGAACATGGCTATGGGTACGTTCTTGCCTGATTTCACCCAAGATCCTTCCTAACATCTGTCAGTTGATACGCTTGCACGCAAGTTTGAGAAGTATGTGGCGGAGGAGGTGAAGCGGGAGGCCCTGGTTGCGGAGCTGACAGAGTGCACATCAAAGGAGAACGTCGAGCGGTGGGAGCAGGAGCGAGTGCAGTTTGAAAGAGATCGCATCAACGACCCTGCCATTGCTGATGAGTTCTTCAAAAAGGATCTCATTCAAGGTAGCTACCATGTGTTTGGGTTCGTACGTTGTTATCTGACGTATCCCAGTGAAGTCCAGGAAGGAGACGGAAACTGTGCTCCTGGAGGCTGAAGCCAAGCTCCCCGATGGCAAGGGTCTCGCTAGGGCGATAATAGACTCGATGAATGTCCAAATTGACCAGTACGTTCTTCATGGTCAAGAATGTGCTCACCTGACATGTGCAACCAGACTTAAACTACAAGCGCTTGAGAAACAGGCCACATCACCCAGTGAGCGTCGATCTGTTGCGACAACTCGAACACGTCTTCACAACCGGTTAAACAAATGCAATGCTGCCATGGTCGCTGCACTGGGATCTGAGCCAGGCCCAGAAGGCCTCACCCAAGTTCGCTTGCGCACCCTCATGCAGGAGGATGAATGGGGTCACAAGGCGGACAAGTCGCGCGAGAAACGCTCGAGACATGACCTTCGTACCTCTGCCGAGTTCCGACCTGCTGATATGCCGTCATCTCGTGGTGAAGCATGGCGGTCGTTCAAGCTTAATCCGGGCCAAGAGGACGATACACCCACTCGCCAACGTGCCATGTCCATCCAGACTCAGGTAGTCGTCGGAGTGATGGAGGAGGCTCTAGGCGAGATCCGGACTCGTATTGTCGACCAGGCAAATACGTATCTTCAACGCATCAGGTCGCGGTCAGGAAACGCAAATACAGGCTACTACGAGACGAATGCGGCATATGCGGACGCGCAGAACCAAGGCAAGGCCGTTCGAATTCACGCCCAAATTTACAACCTTTGTCGGGAGAAGCTGGATTTGTTGGCGTGGGACAAATCACCGAAGGGAGTCGCTACTCATACAGACCTCAAAGGGCGGTACCGGGAGCTCGAGGCCAAGGACCTGAAATGTTCGACGGCGACCTACAGTACGACTGGCAACAGTGATGGATTCCAGCTTCCCTGGTTTTGGAGAATGGTCGCCGTCGACTTCAGTGGATCACCAGAAGCGCAACAAGCAAAAGACGAAGAGTTTATTGCCGAGTGTGAGTGAGGCATCCTAACTCATACGTTGTCTGACTGTCAGTAGTTTTCCGTGTGCGTTGGATCAATGCCAAATGCTCGCTTACACGGTGCCGTGAGGAGCTGATCATCTTATACTTCGAGATGCAAATGTGCTACCTGGGCTACACGAGCCGGGCACAAGCATGGCGGGAGCGTAAAGCTGCAATGGAGGACTCCCTTGCACATGCGTACATGGCACAGGAGTATGTCAGTCACTGGCTGGATATGGCGGCTTATGCAAAACAACAGTTCAACCTTTGTTACACTGATGTCATCTCGGACACTCTGATACGCGAGTTCATGTAGCTTGCTTGCCTTGTAATGACTGACAACGAGTTGCATTTCTATCTATACCCATCTTGCATTCATGTACGTTAAAGCAACTCCGTGTAACAAGAATCCAAGTGGTGAACGCACTGCACAGTAACTAACTGTACCGTGGCTCAAAGGACCTTCGATCCCGCGTGTACCGCGTGTACCGCCAGTACCGCAGAGTACCGCGAGTACCGCGAGTACCGCGAGTACCGCAGACTTCCCTTCTGTGCCGCGGGGATTCTAAGCTTTCTCGAAAGTCTAGATACAATGTCAGAGAAATGCATGTATATACAACAAGATATAGGAGTCGAGAGAATACATAATACAACCAGCAGCCGCGTAGTATACAGGTAGTGTCAGCCAGACACAAGATAAGCAACAGATATTGTACAATGTCCACACGAGATTCAAGTCCCAAACGTTCAGCGCTTACCGCCGCCGCCACGAGCAGCCCCTCGCTTGCCACCGGCTCCACCACCACGAGCTTGAGCTGGAGGAGCTGGAGGAGCTGGAGGCTCCTCCTTCTTGGCGTTACGGTTCGAGCGACGAGGACCGCTGCTGCCTTCCTCTTCTCCGCCGTCCACTGACTCCTTTGCCTTGCCCTTCCCGCCCTTGGTATTGGTCGCTTTGGCGCGCCCGCCAGTCGCGGCCTTACCCTTCTTCGGCGGTTCAGGCGCAGGCTCAGGGTCCTCCTCGATGTCCGCGTCCTCGCCCCCGTGACCAACACTTCCCTCGCCAGCCTCGCCCTCCTCAACGCCTACTTCACCCTCGCCCTCCGGCTCGGCATCGGGCAGGAAGTGCTCGACGCGCAGGCCATCCTCCTCGTCCTCGTACTCGACGCTCGCACTGGAATCAGTGGCTTCACCACGCTCGTCGCGCGCAGAAGGCGGCACTTTCCAGCCACTGTTTGCCTCCGCTTCGTCTGGCGTAGAGTCCGAGTCGGAGTCTGGAAGGGGTACTGGTTGTATACCGTAAGAATGCGCCAGGATCTCAATAAACGTGGGGGATAACGGACGTTGGTTGTCACTTTGTGCAACTGAGTGCGCAGCTGCACGTTGCACATTGGACTTTACGGGCGTGAGCGTCGGCGCGTCGTTGAGAGGGACGACTGGCGGGGGAGGAGCGGGCATGTTGCCTTGCTGAAGGTAGCCGGCCATGTTCTGCAGGGCCGCTCGATAGTGAGGATGCATCGATGAGCCTCCACTACTGATGCTCACCGAAGGCTGCGGAGACGAGGCCAGGAACGACGATCCCGTACTTGCATGGTACGATCCAGAAGGGCCAGCCTGTTGACCTTGAGGCGAGAGACCAGGCGCGGAACCAGGCGCAAGTGCCGCCAAGCGCGGGACACCAGGAGCTTTGGCGGAACTCGCGGTACCGGCGGTACTGGCGGTAGCTGCGGTACCCGCGGGACGCGCGGGACCAGCTGAGCTTGAGCCAGATGCAACTGGAGCTGGCGAGAAAGTAGGCGCACGGCCGGGCGTGGTATATGTCAGCGAGGTCCTCTGCTGCGAGCGCGTAGGAGGTGTGGGCTTGATGAACTCGTTGAAGCGCGTTGTAAGCGTCGAGAGCGTCTGCGTGAGGGCAGACTGGCCTTGCACCAGTTCCGCAAGCTTAGCACTACCCGCCTGTGCCGCCTCAAGCTCACGAACCCGCTCCTCAAGCTGTAGGTTGCGCCTGCGCTCGTGTTGAATGACCAAGCCCGCTTGGTCCGCCAAATGCATGAGACTGTCGACGTCGCGCGGACGTTCATCACGGGGAAGTGGGAGCCAGTCTTCGAGCATAGGCTCTGCGCGCGGAGGGGCAGGCGTGAATGTGACAGGTGCGGGTGTTGGATGCGCCGATACACGAGTACCGTGAGCCTGTCTCTTGTGCGGAGGGGAGCGGTGCTCTGCAGTCGGGCTTTTGACGAGCGTCTCCGAGCGTGCACGCTTGGTCGTTGCGGGCGCCGTTTGAACAACATCCTGCATCGTGACGTCCTGCTCAACAGTGCTCTCATCCTCCGTGGACGTAGGAGGAAGAGGCACAGAGGCAGCGAACTGGCCAGGAGTGGGAGCGGGAGTCGAATGAGCGCTGGCGGGCAATGGCGCGGACTTCTTCTGGCGCTTGGACGCGTTGGGATTGGGCCGTACGTAGTCTACATCCGTAGTTAGTCACTAATTCGCGTGAACAAAAGGTATACGCACTGTCTTCGGTGAGCCAGAAGTCGATGGTGGTCTGATTCACAATCTTGCGCGCCTTTAGCTCGTTCAAAACGGCAATTCGAAACTCAGGATCGGGCCGATAGTTTGACGCGAGCTGGTTCTTTGGCAACTTAGGCGGAACAGCGCCCTCGCACTTCTTCTGGGAGATAGTGCACCAGAGACATGCGGTAGCCATAGTAGGGGGCGTGTCACCGCGAAAGATGCAAAGCTGCGGGTGTTCAGGCCGACTGCAGCGCGCGCATGCAACCTGTACAGTTGTTTTAATCAACAAGAGACCCAAAATAAGTAGCAATATTGACGTACCTTCATGAGCAGCGGAACCAACGCCCCTCCTATGCCATGCATGCCCACATATCCCCATATCTCCTCCGCCGTGGCGCCACCCGGTCGCGCAGCATACTTGTACAGCTGCTCGACATCCAAGTACAGTGTCACCGCGTGGTTGTTGACCGAGTAGGGGTTGCGCCACCTCAGCTTACGCCCTGAGCCACCTTGCGATGCTTCAGCTTGCTCGGACTCGCCACCACTGGCCCTTGTAACCTGCGCAACGTCCGGCACGCTCGCGACGTCCTTCTTCGGCTTCTTGACCACCTTGGCTGGCTGCTGGGGAGCCTGAATAGTCGGCGCGGCTGCGGGACTCGGCGGTACCGCCTGCGGAGCTGCGGAACCTGCGGTACTCGACGCGGAACCTGCGGGACTAGGAGGGATGGTCCCGCGCGTCCCGCCAGATTGCAGCTGTTGTACACGGGCCTGCATGCGCTCCAGCTCAGCCTCCTCCTCCGCCAAAGCATGCTCGAAGTACTCGACGATTGCGCCGCGCGTGGGGTAGGCCGGAGAGTTGGGCGTGCGGTTCAGAATAGCCGCTAAAACTGTCAATTGAAATCTGAGTCCAGGTTATCAGGACTCACAATACGCAACCCAGTACCGCGTGGGCCCGATATCGTGCTTCAGCGATCCAACAAACGTAGGAAGATTGTTGGGGACTCCGGAGACCAGAAAGTCAATCACAAAGTCGTCGGAGAACTTGGAGAGCGCCTGGTCGTGCGCGCGTAGGCGAGCAAGTATATCTTGGAGACCAGGGTGGGCAGGATTCTTGCGCAAGGCAAAGTTCTAGCGTACGGTTAGCATATGTGAGCTTGCAGTATCATGTATGTCACGCACAATGTCCTGTTTAAGTATCTTAAACATGGTCTGCGCTACAGACCCAGTGATAGGCTCCTTGGCATGGGCTTGCTGGAAGAACGCCAGCGCGGACGTCACACGGAAAAGGCTGAGCTCCTGAAGATCCAAGTGCTCGCCCACCATAGCCTCCCAAGTAGCTATGTCCTTGACCAAGATCGCGCCGCTAATCTTCTCAGAAAGAGGCCCGTTGCCAGCATAGCGCATGAAGCCATTTGGGACGGAGGGAGCAGCCATTTGAGAGAGTTGAGCGCGGAGATAAGCTAGCAGATGAGAGCTGAAGCCAAGGAGTCAAGACACGCGCGCCTTGGGGCGCGTGTCTGACTCACACTCTCACGCGAGTCACGCGGAACTGCTCGCTCCCGCCGGGACGGCGGTACCGGCGGTACCGGCGGCACGTGCGGTACTTAGATTGATCAGATCCCGCCGCATTGCATCATCGACTGCAATCTAATCGGATCTGCGTTGCAAGGACGTGTAGGTAAAGTTGCCGCTGTCTGTTGCTTGCAGTGCGATGTGGATATCCTGACGAAGAGTAACATACGTCATTTATGCGATACGTATTCTATAGATCCGAATTGAATAGTGGGCCATATTGAAGATGGACCGTTGCAAGGATGGTACAAATAATACAGATCAGATAAGGTGAGTCCATTGTAATAGCTACAAGTCGCTCAATGTCCACATATACGACACGTACAGTACAGTTGATACAGTGATGAAAGGTACATTACTCCTCATCCTCGTCCATAGGGAGCTGAGCCGGTGCGCCACTGTTAACAGGACTATCATGATCGCTGTCAGCGTCAACTGGAAGTTGGTCAGTTGTACTGATGGGCTGTCCATCAGCTGGCAAGGATTTCAGGCTTGAGTTCTCTTTGTCGCCTAGTTGCGGAGCCGCCTCAGCCGGGAAGGACGGTTGTATCGCTTCGCCTGTGTCTTCCGACCCCGAATCCTCACCATCAATGGGCAGCTGGTCGACAACGGACGAGGCCGTATCACGCGGAGCAGGCTCAGGCTCCCTCACAGGCGTGGAGGCCGTGTGTAGAACGGGAGACATGGCGTCAGACTCGTATCCGTCTAGCCCGGGGAGCTGAACGACAGTCGGGGTGGCGTGGCTAAGTCCAGGAAGTTCAGCGGAGCCAGAATCCTCATCGCTATCACGGTCGAGTGGGATTTGGGGTGCGGATTCAGGCTAAATTCATGGTAATGTTGGTCAATGATAGTCAAGAAAGAGAAGAATCGAGCGATACCTGAGAGGCTGCCATCACAGGCGAAGGTGAGCCTAGCATGAAAGACTGCATTGGCTGCTGCACGACATCCGCGGTACTGGCGGTACTAGATCCATCTGCGGTACCTGCGGTACCATCGCCACCCGCGGTACTGGCGGTACTCGCGGGACGCGCGGGACTGGCGGAACGCGAAGCAGAGACCCGCGGCACCTCCTTGAAGGGAGGAAGTGGCGGTACAGGGCTGAGCGGATGCTCTGCACCGTCATTCGCGATAGCCGTGTGCTGAGGAGTCTCGCGCGCAGGCTCGTTGCTCAGGACGTTGTTGATGTCGAAGCCTGTGAGCTCAGGTTCGTCAACGGGCATGTATGATGGCCCGGGCGAAGCGTGATGAGGTGAAGAGGCTGTATGATGCTCGGTGTCGCTCACAGGGCTCGCGCCAGTTGTTCTGGACGCAATGTACGACTCAAAGAGCGTCGAGAGCGTTTGGACTTGCTCCATGAGCGTGCGCTGAGACTCCATGAACGAGCTTAAGAGCTCGTCCTGCTGGATCTGCGGCTGGATGGTGTGAATGCGCTCTGAATAGCGCTCTCCTGCCGACCGCATGGTCATCAGATACTCCGTGCGCGCATCCAGCAATGTGTTTGCATGGGCTGGAGTAGAATCCGGCCCAATGGCCTGGCGCACAAGAGGTGGAATGGACCGTGGGGCGAACTCGCCCGGCGCACCAGGCTGAACGGAGGCGGATAAAAGCGACGGAGATGCGGGAGGAGGGTTGACGTAGACGGCCTGACGGATGGACTGGCGTTTTGACGTTTGAATCGTTAATGCGGGGCGCTTCCGTGGACGCGTATCGGCTAAGGATGATCCACCAGCCGCGTCGTTTGACACACGCGGACGCTTGGAGCGCGCACCAGCATCAGACTGAGCCGGTGTGTCGTCTGCGTCAGGCATGAGGGGGGTCTCCAACGTTGCACCAGTATCATCCGCCATATCAACGTCCTCATGAAGCATATGAGACGTTGCGCGGTCAACAGCAGCTTCGTCTGCGGAAGACGGAGGGATCTGTGTCGTCCTGGGCTCAGTCTTCGCCCGCTTGCGCGCAACAGCCGCCTCAGCAATGAGAATGTCATCACCGGGCTTGGACATGACATTGCCTAGATGCAGTATGATCAGTATGGAAGATGCGACGCGTGCTTAATGCTATAACGCACCCTTAGCATCGAACCATGCATTCAGACGGTCCTGGGTGATGAGCTTCAGGTCCAGGAGCTTGTTAATCATAGCGGTGCGCAGGTTAGGGTCCGGATTCCAGATAGCGGGGGATGTGCGCGTCTCGGGCGAGAACGACGAGCAGTCGTCACACTTGTGGCGCCGAATCTGGCAGAGGACGCAGACAGACTTCCCTTTCTTCGCAAGCCCACGGAAGATGCACGGCTTATTGGCGGCGATGCAGTCCTTGCACGGACCCTTTACAAGTAGGTAAGCCAGTGAAATGACGCACAGAACGAGTCAAACAAACCGGGTTGAGTGGCGCATCGTTTCTGATACCATGAATAGCGCGTAAGTTCCAAAACTGGGTCGCACTTATGGTACCAGCCCGCTTCGCCTGCTTCAAGATCTCGTCCTCAGACTCCAGAAAGGTGATGGACGCGCGGATATCATCGCCAGTGGGCACACCCCACTTGAGAGTGCGCTTGGACTTGGCAACTGGCGGCTCCGCCAACCGTTCGGGCACAGCGCTGGCACGCACGGCTGCTGAACGAGATCGTGATGGCGCAGGTTCAGAGGGAGCAAAGTCAGAGCCTGCATCGCTGTCGGGGTTGGCCTGGTAATCCGCGTCGTCGTCGTCATCGCCCTCCTCAATCCGCATCTTGCGCGCGTGCTTCTCCGCCTCCTCCTTCTCCTTGGCAGCAGCAATCTTCGCGCCTTGGCCAGGCTTCAAACGCGCCCGCTTGCGCATAGGCACCTCAGGCTGAAGAGCTTCAAGCACGGCACTCCCGCCGATGTCCCGCGCGCTACCGCCAGTACCGCCAGTACCGCCGGTACCGCGAGTCCCGCCGGTACCGCCGGCACTCCCGCCAGCCTTCATCTTCTTCTGGGCCACATTTGACGGTCCTGGGCCCCTCAGAAGCTGCGCAAGAGATGGCTTGGCCAAGGACTCGAGTAGTTTGGCGATTTGGCGTTCGGTTTTGTCGATAGGACGGTCAGGGAGCTTCAGGTACGCGATAGACTTGAAATATTCGCCCATGTCGGCTCGAGTGACTGCGCCAGGGATGTCAGCGCGACGGGCCTTTACGGTAGCAGCTAAGATTGGGAGGTTAGGATGCATAACAGTTGAGAAAGCGCAGATTACGCACGAAGTCCACTCCACCACTGCGTATCACCAAGCCAAGCTGGATCCCCCTCCTGCGGCCATATCACCTTCTCCGGTACGCCCTCCTTAACCTTCTGCTCAATATACTCCAAGGACAAGCTCTGATCGACGGAATTTTCACGGGTGCGCATAACACCCTGGATGTATTCGAGTATCGGATCATACACTTCGTTTTCCTTGAACTTCACGATGAGATAGAGCGCCTTATCCTGTCCAAACCCGTCTCAATGTCTGATTGATCTTGTAGATAAGAGTGACGCACCATCTCAATCATAAGGAGCTCCCAAAAGTAGCGCAGAGTGACCTCAGATGGCTTGCAATGGGGGACCAGGATTTGTAGGAACTGAAGAGCGGTACAGACACGACTCATAGCACGTTCAATGCGCGAAAAGCGGTCTGGTATGCCCTTGTAGAAGACATCAAGCCTCTTAGCCAAAAGCTTGACGTCAATCACGTCTGTAGGCTGCCCAGGGCCAGTCCAGGGGATAAGCTGTGAGTCCATGCTGAATAGATTGCTTTAGATCTTTGGATCAAGAAGAGCACAGTGACGGTAAGAGCCAAAGAGCACTTGATGTTGCGCTTACACGCGCTCCACAACCTCAGATCGTATCTATGGCCAATGAGAGAATGGCGGAACCTTCCAAAGATCCCGCCGGGATATCGGACCTCCAATCCCGGCGGAACTGATGGCGGAACTGACCTGCGGTACTGATGGCGGTACTACCTGCGGTACTACCTGCGGTACTGACGTGCGGTACTGACGTGCGGTACTGACCTGCGGGACTGATGGCCGTACCGATGGCGGGACTGATGGCGGTACTGACCTGCGGTACTGATGGCGGTACTGATGGCGGTACTGATGGCGGTACTGATGGCGGTACTGACCTGCGGTACAGATGGCGGTACAGATGGCGGTACGGATCGGCGGTACTGATGGCGGTACTGAGCCTCTAGGCCTGACTGTTGCCCTGTGCTGACCACAAGTATTGGCTGAGAAGCATCAATAATCACAGTACGTATCAATGATCACGGAGCGTATCGATAATCACAGTACGTCCCAAAATTCATTGAGGTTATGCAGCTCTGTTTCAGTGTTACGCCTTACGCCCAATGTACATGCTTATCCTGCTGTTCTTGCTGCTGCCCATTCTGTGTCCACTCCCAGCCCCCATAGGTATGCTCTCCTGTTGCAATGATGTGTGACGCTGCCCACACATGGATAGGTTTGTTGAATCATATTGTCATCAATCCTTCTTGTTGCAATACCTCACGAAGCCCTACGTACGCTCTCCTATTGAGTGTGAGTTTGGGTACATCTGCTTTAGCATGGTCTCTTTCCTAGATGCTATAGCAGACAGCTGTAGTCTCAAAGCTACATAGCAGTCTTGCAGTATATATGCTACTGCTGAGTGCTCAGCGGGCTATAGCATGGGTGGAATATCTTCAATGCGCTACTCTCCTTGATCATTCAAGTCGTACACTGGGCAATGAGAGCACCGATCTGCAATGAGGTCTGCTAGTGCCGCGGGACTGTTGAACTGGCCCATGGTTCCGACCGAGATTGGGCTCGAGGTTCCGACGGTTCCGACCAGCTCAGTCCCGAGCGGCTCAGATGGTTCCGACCAACTCAGTCCCGAGCGGCTCAGATGGTTCCGACGCCCCTCAGTCCCGCCACCGAGTGGCGTTTTTTGACGGTGTTGTCGGCCCTAAAACAGGGCTTGTTCCGCGACGTTCTCGACCCTGGGTTGCTAAATGGGGTCAACCATTCCTTATGCGGCAAGATCCTTGCGATCATTGCACGGAACTCCCGAGCGTATACGGCCTTTCCCTCGCAATTACTGTCAGATTCGGAGCTTGTTCATCGGAAAACGCACCGCGTCCATGCTTGATTGGATATACCGTTCTGTAACATCGAACGCGAACGTGTTCGTCGGCGAGGCGTTTCGCGCGGTGATGTGTACGGTACCTGCTGGGGTTACCTGCAGTTGTATGGTCAGAAGTCACATATCTATCAGTGTGTACGCCTACTCAACGACTCACAGCGATTACATTGAGCTCAGGAGTTAAACTGGTCTGGTCGACCCTGGCGTCCACTCGCGCTGAAGAGTTATCAATCGAGCTCAAAACTGTTTAGACAAAGTTAGCTTGCGTTGCGTCGGGTACAGCAACATGTCAGTTACAGGGGGTGGTGGAGTGTTCGGCGCACATCGGGTCGGTGCCCGAGATGAGCATCGGCGACAAGAACTCGACCTCGCTGATATCCTCTCTGCAGTCGTCAGCGTCGTCACTGTAGTCCTCGCCGCTGGACCCGTCGTCGCTAGACTTTTCGCTTGTGAACGTCTTCTCGCCGCCATCCTTTCCACCTTCGTCAATCTCGTAGGGCACATTACCGTGATCGTTATTACGGCCCTCATGGCTTCCAGACTCGATGTACTCGATGTTGCCCTTATCGATAGATACGTGCTGATTAGTTATAATGGATGCTTCACCCCACTTCGTCTCTGGATATACCTTAAGAAAGGCACGGGCGATCTCGGAGGACAGGACAGACACGGACCATTCAAGATTTGAGCTTGCTTTGCCAATGCGTACTTGAATTGCGCACATCCGTCAGGGTTGACCTCGCTGTACAACAACTTGGGCTGCTCAAGTACGTTGCATACACCCTCAGAGCTGATTGGCGCGTGAGTGTACGATCTGATGAAAGGATAACTGGACTAACATCACACTTGACCCAGAGGGACCGTTGAGAAACATGACAGCTATGCCTGACGCGCGATTGGCGAAGAAGTGCATCAAGTCGCTCAGGAATAGCTGCGACAGTCTCATAAACCTAAGGACATCCTTGTCAGTGACGATAACCGCATTTTGAAGACGTGTCTCACTTGATTGCCTCCTCAGGAGACTGGGGCATCGTAGATGCGTTCGCCTCCCATTCCTTCATGTCGATCCTGTGCATGCGCTTGCTTTGCTTACGTGCCGCCTTCTTCTCTTTCTTGCTCGCACTCTTGTACCACTCCGCAGCCACCACATTCCATGTCGCGATGCGGGGCGGTGCCGTATCTGGTTTATCAGCTTGTACCCTTGCGGCATGACACATATCAACTTCTGCTTCAAGGTCGGGGCGTGCCTTCAACTTCGCCCAGACCTTATACAGCTGCTTTCGGCGAGGCTTGCGTGCAAATATCTTGATCAGCTGCGCGATCTCGGCCGAGGACTGGCCCGTTGCTTCCGCTGCGGGACTCAAGTTCTCTCGCCAGATCTTCAACACTTCCTGGATGCCTTGTTAATGCTTCCATGGAAAAGCAAAAATAAAGACAAGACGTACGTTCCGAACCTTTTTGAAGAGCGCATCCCGACGGCTCTGCTCTGAACCATCTAGTACTGGACGGCCATCGCCTTCACTAGTAGTCTCTGCTGCGGTAGCCGCCCCTAACGGGTTCTCCCAGCCGAAGTGCAGGATGAGTCTTCTTGCTTCGTTGTCTGTGGCCTTGGCGATGTCGTTTTGCGAGGCTTTCTTGGCCCGAAGGGCCCTATACACGCCAATGTCGTCCAATATCATGCGCCTCTGAGCAGCACCAGCGTTGGCAGGACGGCCACGACCACGTTTCCTTTCGTTAAGCAAGGATGTACGGTTGAGAGCTTGCGCGTGTACAGGCATGGCGAAGGATGATCGTGAGTGGTTTCGGAAGGCAGCAAGTGGAGTTGTGTGGGTCAGCTATGATGAGAACGAATTTATGTAGTTCTAGCTTGCGCCGCTTGTGTTATCCGTCACAGTTTGTCTTTATCAGCGCCGGGTCTGCACGTACGAGGCTGCACTAGATCTGCATTCTTCGATTCAGGTAAACCTGGTTACGGTGCTTCGAACTTGACGCCATCGCCGCGCGAGTATCTACGGACACGGCGTCTAATTCTGCATATCGCTCAACTACACACATAGGGGTCGCATCACAATGCAGTACAGTACTGTCTACTACGTTCTCCGTTCTCAGCTATTGACCTCGTTCCCAGCGGAGCTATTGAGTTTGACTACTCCCACTTCTTTCCGTGCGTGTGCTTTCGTGTACAAATGGGGTTCAGTCGACAGATCAGGTTTTAAGAACGCCGGAACTTCTAGTACTCGTTACAAACGATGGCCACACGAATGTTCCGGAGTATCAGTCTCCGAAAGGAGTGCATATCGACCTGCACAGCCATCGGTTGCACGGCGGGCGTTATCTCGCTGCAACATACTCCAACGGCACGATTGTGACCCGTCTCATAGATCGTTAGATAGGTAATCATTCTTGACCAGACCATAAAGCTTAGCTTGTTCCATCGGTGTTGGCCGGATTCTTGTATAGACGACAAGACACAATCACGCCGCCCCCGATGGTGAAGCTGCGCACCGCGTGCGCTGCTCTCACGCCCTTCCTTGATCTCCGGTACCTCAGAGTAGCTAGGGTACTCAGCTTTGGCGGCAACATCAACTGCCTTTTAGCATCTTGGTGGCTGTGATGCGACTCGCGAGTCAACAATCGAGCCTTGATGTCATGGATGCCCGCGGCGGTAACTCACGTGAGCGCGTGTACCTGATTCCCTTGGGCGCTTCAGGGGCGCTTTCTCTGCAATGCAGGCATGCATCTTGCCATCTCCCCGCTTCGTGGCGGCATGAGAAACCCCCGCAGCCTTGCTCGTGGCGCGACGAAGATCTACGCGATGGACGCGGAGGCGGTTGATATCGACGGGAAAGGACCCGGCTGGAGTATGGTTATTGGTGCGACCAGTGCGTGCATTGCCCCTTCTCAGCTCCAATAGTGGAAGCCCTCTAAAGTGTCGTGAACCTTGCCAGACAATGCTTAGAACCAAGTGTCCATACCCTTCTACCCCTCGGTACTGCACCACCCTTTTGAAACGACGTACCTTCCTATCTCGCTGCCGTACAGCAACTTCGACAATATATATATATATATAATCCACGACTTCAAGCGGTCCTTCGCAAGATACTACCAGAGACACCCTAAGCAATCCAGCAACGCGCCGCACAGGAACGTGCGTGCGGCCGAGCTACTTTGGCGTATAGATCCACGGCATGAAATCTGTCGAGGGTACTGCACAATCCCTTGAGCCGCGACAGTGCAACTTCCATAATTTTCAACATTCTCGTCTTATTCTCCGCTGCCAACAAGAGTTGGTGTAGTACACTATGTTGACTCCTCGAGTGTTAATGCAATAAGTAGACCCCGAATGCGTGAGAACATACGCGCTGGCTGGCACGTCAGCAAACCCGCGCGCAAGCGAGTTCGTCTCGACAGTCATGGGCGAAAATATTGTACTGCAGACCAGCGCCTGTGCTACCTTCAACAAGACTCGCGCCAAGACATTCCCTGAAGAGTTAGGAGAATGTCTCTACTGTTCGCAAGGACGTCCAAAGGAGTGCCAATTCTATAGTAAACCTGGGCAAGCCTAGGCAACGTCGGATGTTTCTGACCATCTCTGCGTTCTTACAGGAAAAGATAAGAAGGGAAACGTGACCGAACAGCGGACGTTCCTGGTCTCATCAGGGCGTCAACCTCGCTTATTGGATATCCGTCCCCAGGGACACGCTAGGGCCGTCAAAGTCAGATACAAATCTGCGCCGCCGACCATGACTGTAGAAACAGCCTGGCACGTCTTTGTGAGGCGCAGCAGTTCATTCTTCGCTCTGTGCTCTGACATTCATGCTTAGATTTACTGTGGTATCATCGTCAAACGAGATCTCCTAAGGCATAAGCGTCTACGAACAGTCTGCCAGGCTTCGATACCCTGGACGCCGCGACTGGACGGCAGTCGATCCACCTGCGGTACTTTCCAAGCCATTTCCGTGCTTTCGTGTGTTCACGTTGAGTGTCAATAGACTCATGCAAATCTTCTTTGTTCTGTGGTGTGCAGATGTGCAAGTACTGTGGGAGGGAGATTTGTGCACAGTGTTTTGACGAGGAACGGGTGCGATTTTGGTATCTCTTGGGTCCAGAATCCCGCTAATTACAGCGCAGTTCTTAACGATGCCCTGCGCGCGAAAGAGGACGGACATTCACCATGTCTTCGTACTCCTTGAAGTCTTCATAGACGGAGAGCTCGAGGAGGCCCTCAATGATATCGAACAGTCACCAAGTCTGTGAGTTCCATACGGGACGCTGTCAGTCTCTGAATCTGTGCTGAATCATCGACTAGTGCTCCGCCTTTAAGTCCTACACCTCTAGACAGAGAGGTGATCAAAGTGAAGCTCCAGGACGGCGTCCATTCCCTCACTTATTCGAAATTATATCACACTCTTGCCAATGGTATACCCATGGTAGTCTCCGGCATTCGTCCCGGGGATCGTAACCTCATGCCGCAGTATTTTATCCGCAATCATGGCGAGACCACAGTCACACTTACCAATACAAAGACGGGTGCACAGCGTAGAGTTGCGTTGAAGGACTTCATGAGTAAGTTCGGAGAGCCTACAGACCCGGCGAACCCTGAAAAACTCCAAGTGACGTTCTCTCTTTGGTCTTTACCTGGTCTTCACCGCTGACGTCCGACGCCCAGGACTGGCCTCCGACGGCCGATTTCGCCGTGAAGTTTCCAGAAATATTTGACCTTTTCGAGGATTGTCTGGTAGGGCCGTGGATCACATCACGAAGAGGACCCCTCAACCTTGAGATCAACATGCCCGTAGACTCTTGCCCGCCAGATACGGGTGAGATTCATTGGCTCGTTGCAATAGATACCGCTCGGCGCTGATGACAACTCAGGTCCTAAGGCGTATCTCGCTCACGCCGCAGCAGGAGGAACCACTACTCGCCTTCACGGTGATATATCGGACGCGGTCAATATCATGTTCCATGCAGAAGGCGGCTCGGAAGGGGGCGCGTCGTGGACGATGATTGATCGCGAAGACATGCCCCGCGCTGCAGAGTTGCTGCGCGGATGGAAACAAGGTTCCTTCGGGAGCGGCCATCCGATTCATTCTCAACAGCTCAACCTTACAGCGAAGGATATCCAAGATCTGAAGGCAGAGCACGTGCGAGTTTGGACCTTCGATCAAAGACCAGGAGACGCGGTCTTTATACCGGCTGGCGTCGGCCACCAGGTAACATCCCTCTCTAACACCTTCCTCGATGATATACGAATCCCCCACGTAGGTCACCAATCGCACTCCATGCGTCAAGATCGCCGTCGACTTCGTAATCGGGCCCAATCTTGAGTACACGCAACAGATCACCGAGGAGCTACGCCAACATCGTTTGGATTGCGGAGACACTGTGGCAGAAGACGTGCTTCAACTATCCGCGATGTGCTGGTGGACATATAAACGTTGGAAAGTTGAAGACCTCGCTCATATACGCTCGGATCCATCTTCTGACCCATGGACATCGCCGTATTCCGCCGCCCCCGCTTATATGCCGGTTTCTTACGCTGCCAATGAACGTCAGTCCTCATCTGTTCCTCCAGAAGAGCGCCTCCTGACCTTCTGCAGGCGTCTCTGCTTCGGCTTCTGCAGACGTCTCTGCTTCGGCTTCTGCAGACGTCTCTGCTTCGGCTTCTGGCGACACAGCTGCTAATCTCGATAACCCTGGCGCCCCTCCTAGCCCCCCTCCTAGCCCCAGCCGTGAACCCGAGTCGTGTGTTTCTGATGCTTGCATGGAGGAGACACCATCTGGCGTGTCTCAGGAAGCATCTGATTGGTCGTCAGCCGTCAAAACATCGCATGCTGCTGCCTATACACTGGAAACTGTCCCACCATCGCCATCGCACCATCATGTAACTCTGATGCCGCCACAGAATCTCTCGATGAAACGCAGTGCGACTGAACCACTGACGAGGACACAAAAACGACGTCTTAAGAAAGCGAGATCAGCTCGTAATCGGTCATTGGCAGACGAGGGAAAGACTTTGAGGTGCCCTGTTGGCGCTTGCAAGCGTGCGGAGGACGACTTTAAGCGGCAAGATCTGCTCAATCACTTGTATGTGATCGTGTATATGTCGATCCTGCAAGAGCTCACAATTGGTGTCAATTAGGGAGCGCGTGCACTCGGTGCAAGTCGCCTTTCTGCACACTGGGCGGTCGGACATTGAACTTGCCCAAACACGCAAAATGGTACTTGAGATGCACCCACACGACGACATGGCGTTTGCACAATATCTGCGGGACAATGTGCTTAATAGCTTGCGAGCAGGTTGATGTAGCATTCACATAGACGAAGACACCCTGAGTGAAGGAGCCTGAACTCGCGCATCGCGAAAACCGTGAATTCGCGGTCAGGCACCTAAGGGCGGGGCAGATGCCATCGCCGTGGCGTCTGGTCGGCCTCGAGTAACTAGTTGTAGACGTCGGTCATGAATGAAGCCTGGTCAGCCTTCATCTTGATAGCTAGTGCAGAGGAGCCCGACTAAATGAGTAGCTTGCGATCAGTCCATTCGAAAAATTCGCATACAAAATTGATTATATATATTCATACTACATGGACATCAAGCTACCTATGTAGAGGCGTAGAACGTGATGATACAAAGTCTTCTGTGATGTTTGAGTAGGCAACGGAAAGAGGAATTTTGCTACGGGCGAGATCAATAAGATGCATAGGATCGGCAAGTCGTTCGACTGACCAGTCAAAACGAGCGAGAGGCGGGTGTCGAGGGATAACAAGACTACGAGAGCGTCAGCGAATAAAGTACAACTATCGATGCCATGGAACTCACACAGGCTACAGCAAACAGCACAGAACAACTACCGTGACTTGCATTAGTCTGGAGCACTATAGCATAGTTACGGACTGAACTCACATGCGTTGACAGCTCGAGTAGTATTAGTAGTAAGTGATTGGCCCTGGCTCTGACGAATGCAACTAGTCCATCATATCAGCGGCATGACGACGAACAACGCAAGAACAAGTCTTCACTTCCTCGCCCTTCTTGCAGTGCTTCGTGAGCCGCGGATGGGAATCCTTCTCGACATCTGGGAACACCAATCAGTGACGGAAGTGTCGCTCGGGAGCTAGTTCTGCGCACCTGATTTGCGAGCGCACGCGCGTATGCTGTGATTCACCGGGATAATGTGTGGTTGGTAGGTGATCAATGTACAAGGCAGGCGTAGAGGCGCGACGATCTAGCTAGGTCGCGAGGGAGAGTGGTAAATAAAGAGGAGATACATGTAGAGAACGGCGCCCAGACGGACCGAGGGTAGCGGCATTGCGGCGGCGGCGAGGCGTCTACAGCGCCATCTCGACCGAGGCGCCAACGCGATTCTCAGAGTAGCTGAAATGAGGTGAGCACACCCCTGTTCATCGCATATACGCAACTTACGCCGGATAAGCCTAACTCACGACACGGTCATGGTGTCCGATTATTGCCGCGGTGATTCTACTGCGATGGCGAGAAGCGCTCTGTCGTCGGTAAATTGTCTGAGTGGCCCCGCGTTGGGGTGCGGGTCAGGGCAAGTATCGGGAGGGTAGAAGCCGAGTTGTTATAGGGAGTAGGTGGAAGGGGAAGAGCGGCGGAAGGGGAGGGGAGGGCGGTGAGGATCAAGGGAAGGTGGTGGTGAGAGACAAGAGTGTGCTGCGCGGCCGACCGAGACGAGCGCGAGATCGCCGTGCATCTCTGCGATGTGCCAGGGCGTCCATGCGTGTGTACGTTGATCCGTCCAAGTCAGGTGCACCGCACAACTTTCTGCCTCGGACACACAGGTTGTCAGGCAGCGCGTGGCAACACGCGCGATACGGTCCTGAAAACCCCCAGCGTTGATAGGACGCAACGGGTGGAACTTACTTACTTACTTACTTACTTACTGCGACATGTCTGGCCAGGGTTCGCGCGTCTAGCAGCCCGCCAGCTTAGTCTAGCGCGTGCAGCGAAGTTGCGCCGGACCGAAACTCGACGGTTTTCACGATGCGTCGTACCCAGTTTTCGGTCTCGCGTACCCGCACGAGCTGTATTATGCATTCCCCACCTCGTAGGCCAGTGGAAAGCTCCGTCTTCGTGTCACATCGTACAACTACTACAACCATCAATCCATACAGTACTCAAGAAAACAGCGTAAAAATCGTGCTGGACACGGCCACATCTAAGGACGAGAAACAACACACTCCTCCCACTGACTCGCCATCCATTCGGGATCACGCGCGATCATGGTCTACAGCAACAGTAGAAGAATGAGCCCACGTCCTGCACGGTATGGAGTTGGCTCACCATTGCTAAGACCTCCTCCCGATCATTGAATTCACTGGAACCCACAATCTTTCCGCCGAGTTTCGCATACTCGTTCAAAGATATATGCCAGCTATCGGGTGGGATTGGGTTTGAGAAGCGATATGACGAGCCCATTGAAACGGAGCATACCTATGCTGCCACCCCTTTGCGAGCTTGAACTTATACCCTTGAGAGAAAAAGGTATCCTTCTCGCCTTGTACGGGAATTAGGGTTGCGGCCGATCCCGTTCCAGATAAGACCCTCTCTGTGCGCCCCCGCCTCTGAAGTGTCTTCCTCACACCACTAAGATGAATGTAAGGACATTCGTTCAGTGTGATGCTATACGATAATGTAATATAGACTTACATGGCGCGATGATCGGTCTTGGCTTTGCGATTCGCCTTGTTCGCAAGTCTATCGCCAGCAGGACGAGACTTTTCCACGGTCGCTAAGCGTTTTTGATGGCGGCGTACAGAGTTGTGAGGCTGCGAGCACTCGTGATCTTGAGCTTGGGGGATTGGATGCAAGTTGTCCTGCCTCGTCTGTAAGGTCAGCCTAGCAACTCCCGAGCGTGCATCCAAGACCGGGTCAAACAAACGCTCCGAGGCAGACACCGTCTGAGGTTCCGAGTCGACCTGGGAATACGTGTAAATCGGCCTATAGCGAATGTAACTGGATATGAAACACATTCACCGTTGTACCAATTTCTGAGATGTCTGTTGATTGCACGGCTGCTCCAGCAGGCTCCGCCTGGTATTGTTTTTCGCGCTCGTGAACTCGTGTAGGGCCAAGCGAAGACGTTGGTCGGCTATCAGAGACGCCGTGCTCGGCATCGGAAGCGGGCCTGAAAGTGAAGGGTTCATGTGCATTGATACCGCACTGCATCTCAAGCACCGCAGCGAGAGAGTACAGCAGGCCCGTATGCTTGAGCTCCTCTCTGTTGAAGCACATGAAGCTATAGCGATCCACGTCGTAGAAATTGGCCGCATTCTGCACGAGGTCGTCCCATGGCAGGCTAAGAGGACTATGAACGTCTCGCGAACGGTTATTCGTCACATGATTGTACAGAGATCGTGGACAGGTCACACGAACCCCATATCTCATTGTAGTATTGGACTATGATCTCCTCAAGCATACTTGGCGTGACATTCCTCGGATCGAGCGCTGGGAAAACCGGGATGCCATGACCGTTACGGGGAATGACAATTTCCTCGATGGTACGATCGTTACGTGGGATGACGATTGCCTCGGATATTGAGGAGCCAGGCTGGGGCATGTGAGCTATGCGCATACTTAGTTTATAGTACGAGATAGGACGGGAAGCACATACAAGGAACAGTCTTCTTGGTGTACTCTTTCCACGATTCGATTAGCTTCAGCATGACGGCTCTCTCTTCCTTATCTGCCCCAAACTCGGAGCTCTCGTCGCCCATACGTCCGTCGCATCTATGAAGCACGAAGTTAGAACACTGGCTCCGAGACTAGACCACAGAACGCGTACAGTTTCACCTGTATTTCTCCTGTCTCAATATCTCTATAGCCCAGCAACGCAATAGCCGTCAAACCCCCAAGCGCTTTCTCCTGGCAGAGCGCTTCCAGGGTCGTGTTGAGATTTCTGAAAAGCAAGTCACGATTGCTATCAAGGATGTCAGCATGATATCGACGCAAAAAAGAGCTGTGCACTTGCTTCTCGATGTCTTTGGCGAGGGCATCAACCTGCTGCTCGTATCCTTTCCGGGTGTGTTTGGGCAAGCTGTCCCATCTCTTCCGAAGACGTGTCTGATAACCTTCGCCGGGGTCCTTACCGGAGTCGTCGAGTTCCTGCTTTACCTCGAGCTCAAAGAGGTGGAGGGCCGTGGTTCGGGGAATGAGGAGCTTCAGAAGCGCTTTACTCAGCGGACTTTCACGCTCTCGAAGGCCATGGTAGAAGTTCCTAAACTTCCGATCAACAAGCTAGAGATGTCGCTGAGCCACGCATAGCCTCCCAAGCGATTCAAACCTGCACACCTGCATATACAGTTTCTTGCGTGACTGTTCCTCCGTCGCAAATATCGGGTCATTGTCGACAATGTCCTTCTTCCGTCGAGCTACCCACTGACTGACGGCTGGAAACCCCGAAAAGCCAGGGTCGTGCTCTCGGATGTAAGGGTCAAATTCGTCAACCAGTATAGATGCGATGAGATCGACTTGGGCTGTATTCAGGACGTGGTCTTTGCCGCCAACCATGATGTTGAAGCGAGCCAAAGACGTGGGTACACCACGTATATATAAAGACCTTAAGGTTTGAACCACGTGCGTGGGTCCGTTCACGGGCAGAGGGTGCTCATCAGCCCCGGTTGTATCGTTTCGACATGATACCGTTAGGAGATGGCGCAAAGGCCGAAGGTCCGGGTATATCGCCGGTTCTGGAGCTATGCCAAGTTCGCAGGAGAGGGAAACATTGGATATTGCGTCGTGTGAGCGCTGGACTGTTCGCGAACACGGCACTAAGGGTCTTATGCAGGGCGTACAAGCGAACGAAGGAGTTAGCTTGAAGACCGTTAACGAGCTAGGTCGAGTTTACAGTGACAGAGCAAGAGACAGTATTCGGCGATCGAGAGACAGCAATGGAGGCACCAGTTAATACAGCCGAAAGGGGCAATGTGGTAGCGCTGAGCATTAGCGTCTGACCGAGCCAGGAAGGTAAGAATGTACTTCCCGGTTGATG